TCAAAGAATTCGGTCTCCTGAGGCCAAACGATATTATTACACAAATTATTTAAAGTAATTCCAAGTTTCGCTCTGGTTTTTAAAATATTTAATCTATTCATCGTAACAATATTGATGCGCGCTAATTAACAATGATCAAGGAAAATTGAGTAAATTTATACATTCAAATAAATAGTATACAGGTCAGCATTTTAAAGATCATATTTTTAACTTTTGTATTATTAATGAGAAATCTCATGGCCGATCTAATATTAATAAGACATAGATAATATTAATCGTAATTATAATCAATCAACTTCTACAACCAGTTTCTTATGTTCTTTATGGTCGAAAGAAGATCAAACCATCGCTAATGCATAAATATTTTTTCTGTTCAATTTATGTACAGCCCTTCAAACAGACCTTATACTTTTGAATGCATTTTGTACTCTCTGTTATAAAAACTGCAATACGATAGAAATTTTATTAAAATATTTAAAATATTGAAGAGAACACTTACCGCTCTAATGAAACTAAAGCCTCACTGAATAACCACACAGACGTTATTAAAGTGCCAAAGTAATCGATCAAGACAGGCGTACATTAATATAATATAGTGTGCTCATTGTATTAAATAACATTGTTCATTGTCACAATGTACAACCTATTAATCAATGATTTAGTACATTAAAATAGCCGAATATGCCTGCAGTTTCAAAGATGAAACAAAGAACGCATTCATTGGGACAATGAACGCGTTCTTTATATTATTGAAAATCTTTACATTAATTTAACAACCAGATTTTCATTATATTGATGAAATTAGATTCATACTATTTATAAATCAGGCATCGATCTATGATTAACAAATCATTAATATAATGAAAATAATTGTCCTTAACAAATGAAAGAACAGTTAATAATGGATTGGATTTTTCTAAAGTAACGGCAGGAAAAATTGATTTGCAAAACCTGTTTTGAAAGAATTTAGAAATCTTTGTACTTTTGAAACTTTCTTTGATAGCATCATCTTAGTGAACATCCCAAGGCGCAACTTTGCCCTAATTTAAATCCATATTCGTATCTATTACGGTTTCCGAGATACCAGTGATCGTACCCCGAACTTGTAGCAACCTGTATATGTATATGTATATTCCAATACATCAAATAAAAATTATCTTTATTAAATGTCTGAAGAAGGACAGAAACGTAAAAGTTTTATCGACAAATAATTTAGGACTCATCTACATCTACACTTACTTGTTTCTCTGAGATTTAAAGCGCTAGACGGTGTGTAGACTGAGAAAATTAAGGGATTTTAGCCCGTTTGCTAAACGAAATATATTTAAGGACTATATTTCTAAATGAGATTAAGTTAAAAGTGTGAGTGGGGAAGTTTAAGCTCTTGAATATACACGTTGAAAGGGGTGTAATTCATCACAACCAAACATACAGCTTAAACTAAAAAGGACTGGATAAAAATTGCGATAAATATTATATTTATTTTTAACAGGAAATATGTATTTATACTTGCCATATTTAACAACAATTTAATAACCAAGATAGACCGTAAAAGAATAGAGATACGACAAAAGACCCAGGTAATAGATGTCATCCACAGAATCAAATCCTTTAAGTGGCAATGGGCAGGACACCTGGCAAGAAGTACAGACAACAAATGAACCAAAAAAATTACAAAATGGTACCCACGAGGAATCAAAAGACCTAAAGGAAGACCAAACTTAAGATGGGACCATGATATTTGAAAATTAGCAGAGAAAGCTTGGGCCCGCATAGCTAACAATATACAACAATGGGCCCAACTACAATACTAGAGAGTATCTAAATACGTGAAGGAGGCTTCACCATGATTGGAAATGGTTGAATAAGCTGATGATGATGATAACTTTTCATGTTTAGAGACTTTTTTTTCTAAGTATTGATCTATCGATAGGAAATTTACCTTGATATGCCAGCACTTCTAACGTAATTTGGAGTCATTTTTATTTTTAATCATAAGGTATATGACAATATAATATGACACAAATCAGTTATACATTTAACTACACTGCTCGTCACTTATAGTTATTAAACAAATCAATTATAGACACAGAAAAAAATTGTCATTATCATCACCATTTTCAGCTTATTCAACCATTTCCAATTATGGTACAGCCTCCCTCACATTCTCTCTTTGTATTTGGTCCATCTGTTGTCTGTCCTTCTTACCAGATGTCCTGCCCATTACCACTTAAGAGATTTGACTCTGTGGTTGACATCTATTACCTGGGTCTTTTGACGTATCCACTCTATTCTTTTACGGTCTCTCTTGGTCATTCCCAGCATATTTCTATCCATTGAGCATTGTGCGACCTGCAATTTCCTTATGATGTCCGTTTTAAGTGTCCAGGTTTCGCATGTATAGATCATGACTGGTAGTACACATTAATTATTTATTGCCGGGAACACCGAGAGACATAAGATGGAAGTAAACGCTGCTCATCCGTTTCATGGACATCAACCTCCCCTAAATAGATTGAAATCTAGAAAGAGCTTCCTAAAAACCACTATCGATGACGGTGCATCTCCATCGATGGCGCGACAAAACTTGTGGACACTGAGAAATGCAGATATCGCATCATGGATCCCACCTTCTGAATCCCTTCCGCCAGGTGCAGACTTGCAGTGGAAAACATGGAAGTCTCTCATCAGATTAAGAAGTGGGATTGGCAGAACAAAGGATAATATAGCCAAATGGAATTTTCTTACAGAGCCATCAACATTATGCGAATGTGGTACAGAACAAACCACCAGACATCTATATAACTGCCCTCAGTGTCCAGTTTCTTGTACGTTTGACGACCTGTTGCAGGCCACAGGAAATGCCGTCGATGTTGCTAATTTTTGGTCTGATAATATTTAGTATTTGTACAATGTTCATTTTTTCTCTTGTTTTTTTTTACAATTTTTATGTTTGTAACTGTCTTCGATTTTACCTTTGCAATTTTCTTCTGTTTGTCTTTATACACTTTGTATATATTTTTTTTATTAGTATTATTGTACATATATATATTTTTTTATATGGAACGCTTTTGACACGAATAAAAAAGTACACATTGGTCGAATGTTTTCTTCTTTAGATAGAGTGGCATTCTAGATTTAAATATGATTGCGTTTCTTCCATACCTACTCCATGCTAACTGAATTCTTCTGTTGATTTCTGGTAGTAGAGATTAGACCTGTTCCAAACACCGGAACACCGTTTTAACACCGGTGTTGGGCTGACACCGGTGGCCAAATATAGGCTATCCGGTGTTTCGGTGTTAATACCGACACCGGTGTTCATTTGGATACCGGTGTTCATCTACAACACCGGTGTTCATCTCGACGCCGGTGTTGGTCTGGACACCAGTGTTCATCTCGATACCGGTTTTGACTACCACACCGGTTTTGATATTGACACCGGTGTTTTGTAAACGGGTTAAAGAAGAGAGAGAGAAATAATGTTAATTAATAAGTTCAAAATAAACCTGATAATAATAATGTCGTATCGGTGCTTATTTTTATCGTATATTAAAGCGCACTGACGTTAACTTAAACAGACGGTACCATCGACATCGACACCGACACCGACACCGGTGTTGATCTCGACACTGGTGTTCATTACGATACCGGTGTTGAGATAAACACCGGCGCTGAAATGAACACCGGTGTTGATACCGGTACACCGACTGAAACACCGGTGGTCATCACCACCTAACACCGGTGTTCAAATCTCAACACCAAACAGGTCTAGTAGAGATCCCGAGCTGGTGTATTAGTTGTGAATGAACAAATAAATTGTATTAACATCAAATATTTCTGTACCTAAATATTTAAGCTTCTTTATTTCTTATTTCATAATACCTAAGTTAAATATTTTGTTTCACCATCCATTGAATCGTAACCGACAAGGAAAAGCGGATTAAATGGATTTAAGGGATTTCTTTACCCCTTTTCAAACAAACTCGACCAACTCATTTCATTCGATTAAATCTGTTGTGTTTAATCTGCAAACACTATGTGATGAAAAACAGGACTTAGATCGATAAGTTGCCAATATATTTGTTAAGATTCTCCTTTCTTGATAAAATATTTTGTATTTTTTTCTTTGTTCTTTTACATTCATTATTCTATTTTATAGTAAAAATAAAAGTGAAAGGTGGTTTACTAAAATTGTAAAATAAAAAGAATGAGAATTAAATTTCAAATTAAAATATTCATGATAATGAAAATCAATAGATACATATTTTTAAATTGAATTTTTCAATTACAACTCGTTGCCTTGTACAGTGAGTCTTAAATAAGTGATAGTTGTGATATACGGAAAAAAATAATTTGTTTTAAATTTAATTAACGATTTATGATTTAATTACTTCGATTTACCTTACTACAACACTGGTAGATTTAAGTAAGAAATTGCAAGGTACTTTTCTTGTAAAAAAAAATTCGAATTATAAGTTTTTTTAATGAGTTTATTATTATAGATATATTATATTATATTATTACTATGGTCTTCCTCGTTTTCTATTGTGCAATTATAGCGTGATCTAAGTCTTGATAAATTAAGCCGTAACGTCCAAATATTTCCACAGGATGTACTTACCGGATTCTAAACATTTCTGGATTAAGAAGAGTGTAAAATGCGGAATGCTCCTGAAAAAGAAATTAAATATGTCAACCTTAATTTTTATACTTAAATTAAAGACAGCAAAAATTACCAGTTATCATTTTATTTCAAACTGTGGACGCATGTTTGGCAAACCAATCATTATTAGCAGTAGAACTGATATTTGGGATCGAATTTAAATCCTCTGCTCCAAAGTTCAAAACAAAATGTTTAGTTGTATTGTGATAAACTAGTGTTATTATGATGTTTTAACACCAAACATTTCAATCTCGGGTGATTTTTTTTGTAAAAAAATAAGTATTATTTTGCTAAAATAAATCAGCATTTAAAAACCGTCTCTATGTTTCTATAGGTTAAATCCGAACGACTGGGAAAATCCGCATCCTTGTGACCCGAATCCAGAAGAATTGGAAAATATTTGGACCATAAGAAACTGCTGCTGGTTGACGTTGGGCTCCATAATGGCCCAAGGATGCGATCTCTTGCCAAAGTAAGATTATAAATTATTTCAAATAAAATAATACTGTTATACATAGTTATACTAAAATATTATTTATTATTTTCTAGTTTTTATTCCTTTGATTTAATGCCTTTTAGTAGTTCTTTTTTCTCAATTCATTTAGTTATATTAAACTCTATTAGAATTAAGGTACATATACAATTCAAGTAGGTATTCAGCATACATACGCAGCAAGCTTTAAAATTATAATAAAATTACTTCAATTTAAAAATATACTTTCGCTTATTAATAAATCACAAACTTATCTTTTCTAAACCATTATTTTTTCTCTTTTTACATCTACTACTGTCAGTCCAGTCGAGCACCCCTACAGTATACAGAAGTACTGTAAGATTATTGAAAATGAAAAAATAAATTATTTAGCGGGCTGTTTAGAAGTAAGGCAATGTTTTACTATGGGGAATCTAAAAAAATATGCTCTTTTTTGTGAAAGGATAGAAATCTTCAATTACATTCACTCAAACCATACAAAATCACTTACCATCTTCTTCTTTTTCTCGTCCGTTAACTCTCGAAAGAGTATGGTGACATCATGTCTCAATTGCTCGGATCTTGAGCGGCTATAGAAACCTCTTGCAGGCCGTGACCAATATTTTTTTTGGTTTTGTCCACCCAGCGCGTCGGAGATCTTCCTCTTGTTCGTTTGCCATTAATCTTCCCTTCGATTATATTTTCTTCCAGTCCCTCTGTTCTTCTCGAAATGTGCCCGAAGTACCTAAGGTATGACTGGTCTATTTTGGTTGAAAGTCTTGTGTTAACTTTCAACTGCCTTAGAATTGATACGCTGGCGCTGGCGCTGCGCTGGTCCGATGTTCTGTGTATGAAATTGGCAACATACATACATACAGCCGTTACTCGCTGACGAGTATTCGACACACATAAAGAAGATGGTCACGCAAGGCGTTTTCTTTCATGAGCTTTTCTGTGACTGAAAAGCCCGATACGTGATGTTATCTGCCTACCGCACTCGGACATTCAAAAATCTCATTACTTTGTTGCCTCTTTACTTTTTGGTTGCCGCTGTTAACTGAGTTTACAACCCCCTTCTCCATTGAGTTCTATTGCCAAGCTGCTTTTTCCCCACTCATTCTGCATGTTAATTCCCTTTAAATTTTCGTGGAAAATGTCCTTGTATCTTTTCAGTTGTCCACCCGGTCTCCTCTTACCGTCTACAAGCTCACCGTAAAGCAGAGATTTTGGTATACGGTTTTCTTGCATTCTGCATACGTGACCAGTCCATCTTAAGCGGGATTTTGTGACCATGACTTCAATACTCTCGCAGTTAGCTTTTTTAAGGACCGATACGTTTGAGACATGATGGAACCACCGGACTCTTAAGAGTTGTCTAAGGTGTCTCTGTTGCAACTTGTTTAATGCGTTCATGTGTCGGCGGTAAGGCACCCAGGTTTCGCTCCCATATAACATGGTGGGGATTATAATTGCTCGGTATACTGCAAGTTTTGTTTTTGTACTCAAGTCATGATTGTAGAAAACCCTGTCTTTTTAATTTCAGAATGCTCTTGAGGCGCTACTAATCCTGTGCTGAATTTCAGAGTCAATATTGGCCTTTTCCGAAATCAAGCTGCCAAGGTAATTGAATTCCGTCACATATTCGAATAGTTCTTCTCCGATTTTTATAGCATTGTTGTGATCTTCCGGGGGAGTGCACATGATTTTAGTTTTGTCGATGTTTGGCTTAAGGCCCAAAGCCTCGTATGCCCAGGTATACATATGTGTTCAACATGTCTTGTAATTGTTGTACCGTGTTTGCAACTAGAGCGCAGTCGTCAGCGTATTGAAGTTCTGTGATAAATTTTGTACGTGTTTTTGCCCTGAGTCTTTTTATGTTGAACAGACCGCCGTCATATCTGTATCTAATGCCCAATCCTCTCTCTTGCAGTTTGCTGTCCACTATAATGGAGAGCGCTGCCATGAATATGTTCAATAGGAGAGGCGCTAAGACACATCCCTGCCTAACTCCTGTATTTCTTAGGAATGGGTCGCTCAGTGATCCATGATGTGACACTCTTGACTTGTTGTTATGGAGGCTTTTACACACTGTAAGAAATTTGTTGGGTACTCCGAACTTTTCCATAATTGCCCAAAGCGCATCTCTGTTCACAGAGTCGAAGGCTTTGTTAGATCGATGAATGCAACATAAAGTTTAGACTGCTGCTCTTTTACTTTTTCCTGTAGTTGACGGATGGAATATATGGAATCGACGGTGCCGCGGTTGGCACGAAAACCCGTTTGCGATTCTGGAAGGAGTTTTTTTCTATATATGGGTGCAGGCGGTTTGACATTATTTTTGCAAGAATTTTTTCCGCCGATAGCCAATAGCGAAATTCCCCGGTAATTTCCGCAGTCTGATGCACTTCCTTTGTTCTTAAATATATTCACTATATTCGCGTTGCGAAAATCCTGAGGTACCTCTCCGCTTTCCCATGCGACATCAAAGAGAGCCTTAAGATGACCAATAATTTCTTTACTTGCACTTATAGATTTCCGCCGGAATCACGTCACAGCCAGCTGATTTGTTGTTTTTAAGCTGTTTTATGGAGGTCTTTATTTCTTGTTCTGTTATTGGGATGTCTAATACATCGAGGCTGTTATACTGAGGTATTGTGTTTAGTGCTTCCATATTGGGGTTGTTTTCTTGGTTAAGGATATGGCTGTAATGTTCTTTCCAGCGATTTCTGATTTGTTCTTCCTTTTTTAGAAGTTCGCCATTTTGAGCCATGATTGGGCAGCTTACCTTCTTAGTTGGACCGTATACTTCTTTTACAGCCTCGAAGAATTTACGATAATCGTGATGCGTGGCGTACTCTTGAATCTGATTCGCTTTTTGTTACCACCAGTTATCCTTTACTTGGCGCAGTTCTCTTCGAAGCGTGTTGTTGGCTGCTTTAAAGTTGCTTACCAGTCTTGGATTATGTGGATTTGCAGTGACGGCTTGATGTGCTCTATGCTTTTGTTCCAACAAAGCCTGTATATGCGGTTGATTTTCGTCAAACCAATCTGGTTGTTTCTTTTTGTTCGACTTTCCCAGTACTGCTTCGCTGGTTTTATGAATCGCATCCCTTAATTGTGTCCAGCCTTGTTCAGCTTCCTATATTGAGATTGAAGTTATCGGTGGAAGTGATTCTTCTTGTTCTCTAGACCCCGTACGTTCAATCTGGTCATGTTGTTTTGCTTTTTACAGCGTGGATGTTTGGGTTTTAACTGGATTTTCATTTTTGAAATTAAAAGTCGGTGGTCAGTGCCGCATTCGGCATCTATTCTAGCTTTTGTGAGCCTAACATCTTTTAGATGCGTCCTTCGAACGATTATGTGGTCCAATTGATGCCAGTGGCCTGATCTAGGATGTTTCCAGGTACCTTTAAACTTGTCCTTCAACATGTATTGGTGATGCAAAGATTATACTCTGCGCATGTTGTTAATAAGCGTTCACCATTGCTATTTGCGTTTCCCATTCCATGTTTTCCCAATACGTCAGGCCATATTTCCTGTTGTTTGCCTACACGGGCATTAAAGTCACGATGATTCGTTCGTGCTTTGGAATTCGTTGAAGGGCATTTTGTAAAGCTTGGTAAAATTTATCTTTATCTTAAATTTTAGCGTCAAGGGTGGGAGCGTAGGCACTAATGATGTTGACGTAAGTTTTTTGTCTGATATGGGGTACCTTAGGGTCATAAGACGTTCGGAGACACCAATAGGTACTCTGTTAACTTGGTGGCGATTTCGTTTTTGATCGCAATGCCTACACCATGAATTCTCCTGTGTGTTGCGGGGTGACCTTTCCAAAAGAAGGTGTAATGCTCCTCAGTGAGACTACCTTCATCTGCAAAGCGTGTTTCGCTTAGAGCGGCAACATCTATATTTAATCGGTGGAGTTCCTGTGAGACCAGTGCTGTTCTTCTCTCTGGTCGATTTGAATTTATCTTGTCCAGTAGAGTGCGGACGTTCCACGCCGCGAACGTGAAACTTTGGTGTTTTTTGTTTCTCCGATGATACGCTCGAGTAGGCACCCCCTCCGATTGGGAGATCCGATTGAGGGGGTATTTTACCTCCGGACGATAATTTTATCCCGCTCGAATGTTCCATCATTGCTGTGTGTAAGCTGCGTGAAAAGGTTTAACTGTGGCGGTTACGCTGCCGCACAGTTTTGGCTGCAACTGTAGCACGGGATGGCTATGGCACAGTGAGGACTGCGACGATAGTTCCCTTGTGCTAGGTTCTCGGCCGGCTAGGTGTATTTTATTACTCCTTTTCCCCAGAAGATGGTAGGTCTGAGGGTTGTATAAAGTTACACCGCCTATACTCGGACGTCAGAGCCTTGTTTGTGTAAACAGGGTGCACCACGTGAAGGTGAGGTTGACTTTTGGGTAAGCTAGGCTATATGTATCGCTTCAATACCCCTCGCACCCCTTGCAAATTCGCAACATTCTTCTGTAGGCCCACATTTCGAAAGCATCATATAAGTCCTTGAAATATTAGAGCACAGACACAAAGAATATTTTGATATGTATTATTTCTTCAAGTACTCCTGGAACATGAAAAAGATCTTAGGTATAACTGGACGTCTTATTGAGCTTACTAAATATACTACAAAATGTCTCGCTAATGCATTTTTAAACGGGATATTGAAGAGGTACGATTTAACCGGTAAAAGCGACTTCCTCATATATTAAAAATTATTAAAATATTGATAGCAAAAAATCTTAGTAGTTAATTAAAGTTTGTTATTAGTAAGTCATGGTTATTTTATAATAATTACTGTATTGATATAGACATATGTTATAATTCTAGAGGCGTATCTACTAGGATGGCAACAGCAGCTTGGTGGTTCTTTTCACTGATAATGACCACGTCCTACACTGCCAATATGGCTGCTTTTCTCACTATGTCCCGTATGGGTTTAACAATCGAGAAAGCTGAAGATTTAGCTACTCAAACTAAAATTAAATATGAATGTATGTAGCAGGTGAGATATTTCTCTACTATTATCTAGGTATAAAGCTAAATGATTTAAATAGAAAAATGTGCATATTTTTAAATGAAGAGTCAATACCCAAGAACATTCAATTATTCAATTCATTCAAAATATGTACAGGGTGGGTGAAATTCGACGCTTTTAAATGGAAACACCCTTTTCTATAGGAGATAGACGAAAACTAATATCGGTGTCTGGAGCTCAATTTTCATCAAAAACATGATTGTGAAAACCGCACATCAATATCTGTTACCGTTTCGGAGTTACGGGGTGTTTTTCAAAAATGTGCATTTTAACAAATCGCTGTAACTTTTATGCTACAGGAAAATTTTGTATTTCTATGAAAACATTTCCAAAGCACCTTTTTACGTAGGAATTTAATGGTTTAAGTATAATTTTTTAAAATTAACAATTTAAGAGTTATCAACAGAAAAATTGATTTTTATTTGGGACACCCTCTATATTTTTAATTAACTGAAAAGAATTTAAAATTACCTTTCCAAAAAATTTAGCACACTTGATATTTTGTTATAATCCCCTTCGAAATACATAATTTTTAAAGTTCGCCACTTTTTAACTAGTAGGCTTTTGGACCCTTATTGATGATATGTGCTTAATGGGACTCGAAAACATATTTTTTCCAGCAAGACGACGCACCGCCTCAAAACGCTGAAGTTATCAGCAAATTTTTGCAAGCCAATTTCAAGAATAATTGAATAGCTAACCAAGATCCCAGCCGTTGGCCGTTGAGGCCGCCTGACTTAGTGCCCGTGGATCTAATCCTATGGATATATTTGTGGCAGAATAGAGAGTCCTTAATCTTCTGTATATTCTAGACAAGAATTAGAAATACTAGCAGTTATGAGAGGATACCTTTCACCTCCACTGAGTTAATGAATTCCGCGAGAAATGTTCAAAAACTGCCCCGTCTGTCCATAACAAAAGACGGTCGATATATCGAACAACTGTAGCAAAATCTCATGTCTTGGTTTGCTATTTATTTTTATTGTTATTAGATATATTTTAAATGTGTTGATGTTGGTTAAATATATTTTAAATTGTTATAAAATTCTGCATCTCTCATAGCAAATACTATTTTCGTTTTAATTGATGCTCACAGAATTTTTTTGCATTACAGCCGGTGCCGTTCAAAGCCTACTTATTAAAAGCCGGCGAATTTTTATATACTCTGTATCTCGAATAGGAATCAAGCAAAATATCTAGTGTGTTATATTTTTGGAAAGGTAATTTTAAATTCCTTTCAATAAATTAAAAACATACAGGGTGTCCCATATAAAAAATCAAATTTTCTGTTTGGTAATTCTTAAATTATTAATTTTAAAAAAATTATACTTAAACCATTAGATTCTACATAAAAAGATGCTTTGGAAATGTTTTCATAAAAATACAAAATTTTCCATAGCAAAAAAGTTACAGCGATTTGTTAAAAATGCATATTTTTGAAAAACAACCCGTAACTCGGAAACGGTAACAGATATCGATATGCGGTTTTCACCATCATGTTTTTGACAAAAATTGAGCTCCAGACACCGATATTAGTTTTTGTCTATCTCCTATAGAAAAGGGTGTTTCCATTTAAAAGCGTCGAATTTGACCCACCCTGTACTTATAAAAGCAAAACAAAAATTCTTATTAAAATATATTTATTATTTATATAATAACAGTAGAAAGCACTACATATTTCTTTATAGGTGGATCCACTTCTTCGTTTTTCCAAGACACCAATTTCTCTACGTATCATCAAATGTGGGTGCAGATGGAATCGGCAGATCCGACGGTTTTCGAGTCCAGTAATGCAGATGGCGTGAAGAGGGTATTAAATAGTAAAAGAAAATACGCCTTTCTGATGGAAAGCTCATCGATAGAGTACGAAACAGAAAGAAACTGCGATCTCATACAGGTGGGCGGTATGATCGATTCGAAGGGGTATGGAATAGCTATGACAGCGAGTAAGTTAAAACTATTTTTTGCATCTACGAAAATTAACATATGATAAACTCACCGGCACGAAAAACCGGCACCTTAAAATTTCTATGTAATTTAAAGTTTAATATCTTTTATTCTAGTGGGCCAATTTTGATGATGTTTTAAACAATTTGTAAAGGATAAAACATTGGACCTTTTAGTATTTCTTTCTAAATTAAAAATAAAGGTTTCCATCTCAAACAAAATGTTGATATCTTGGTGAAAGTTTGAAACATCCTCTGAAATAAGTTAACAAACCAAGGAATTTAGAAAAAATTTTATCACCTAGGTACGTCGTTTCTGAATAGTTTGTTTTATGGTTTATCTCAATATCTTTATTTTTTATTAAAGATATTCGCTTTTGAAGAAGACAGTAACGATTTACAGCATTTTTATCATTAAAAGCTTGGCTTTGCTTTTCGTCCTCATCAACACACCTATGAAATAGAGTTTATTGTTTTTCTAGTGTCACTGCAAATGAAAAGTTTTAGAATTATTGCTATGAGTTACTCAAGCAGAGAAGGTTTTAAGTCCACTACTGTTGCATTGAAGTTATATCCACTACTGTTGTATTAATTGAACTTGGTAGAAATCAACTCCTGGACTTAAAACCATCTCGGCTTGACTAAATGCCCATCAGACAAGAATAATATAATTTTTCAATGACAGAGTGACATTACATATATCATAAATACTATTTAATAGGTCTGCTAACTAGGACCGAAAACAAAGACATTGTTTTATTGTAAAAATTAAGAAAAAATATTAGTGTCTTATTCAAAAACGAATATAATATTCAAAAAAAATAAAGCTATGAACCAAAAACCAAACTGTCGGTAAAAGATGCACCGAGATGATAAAATTATTTTTAAATTTCTTGTTTTTTAACATATTCTAGGGTGTTTCAAACTTTCGCCAAAATGCTAATATTTTGTTTTCCCTGATATAATTGACAGATGAGAACTTTAATTTTTAATTTAGAAAGAGGAACTAAAAAGTCAAGATATTTAGCTACAAATTTCTTAAAAAATCATCAAAATTAATCCATTACAACGCAATATAAAACATTATTGCAATATATAATATTTTTCTATTTTGAAAAGAAAAGTCTATCTTTCACTTGAACAAATAACTATTCTAACAAGTATTTTTTAAACTATTTTCAAAATTCTTGTTTAACTAATCTACTTTTCTTTACAGATTTCCAATACAGGAAAGCTTTCAACGAGGCCATATTAAAAATGCAAGAAATGGGAATTCTTAGTAGACTGAAAACAAAATGGTGGACAGAAATGAACGGTGGTGGAGTATGTAAGGTGAGTTTTTATACCACTGAAAATTTAAAAAATTACATGTTCTTAATTGGAATCTTACAAGAAAAGTAACTACAACAGTCATATCTTAAAAATATATAGAATTACGTAGGTACCTACTAAATAATAGAGTTCTAAGTTTTAAAGTATCCAAATTGAAATTAAATTGATTAAGGGTCATGAAAATATTATTTGTTCATATATTCTGAATGAATACTGTAGCGTTTTTTAAACCACTACCACTGCGAACGGCAGCTTTTCATCGGAGAGCAGTCGTGGATAAGGTATTTCACTAGAGAGAAAATTAATCAGTAATAATTAACAAAAGATATATAGATATTGGGCGCCAGGCATGTACAGAGAAAGAAAACACAGTTGTATAATACTTAAAACTAATGACTATATTTATTCATGACGTTCTTTGCTGATACATGACATTGTAGAGTTCTAGTAAATATATAGTGGTTATATGTCAAAGAAAGTGGTGGTAAGAGTCGTACTAAATATCAATGAAAACAACTACGATAAAATACAGGACATGTAAAGTTTAAGAGAAAATATGAAATGTAGCATTACTTTAATTAATTTGATATATTCCATATGATGCTAAATCGAAGATGTTACAACCTGTAGATTCTAGAATCTATGTTTGATTATCCATCTATTAAAATAATGCAATAATATCTATAAAAGTAATACCACCACAAGACGTAATGCAATGAAACCTAAGATCTAAATTATATTTTAAAGATTATATCGACATGAATGTTCTTAACAATTTAACCACTGAACATAGTCTGTACGATATTACTTAAGATGTACGTTATTGTTCAAGACTGAAAATATAGAAAATCTAAAACATAAAAACTAGAACGTAAATCTACACTTAGCTGTTCTTTATGTAATCTTGCTTCAAACAGTAGCAGCGTGAGGTGGTCTCGCATCTCTGTACTGTCTGTCGGCGATCCTGTTGGTCAAAACAACAAAGGGGCCAGATTGAGGACACCATGAATCCCTTACAGCCGTAGCTACTGACTAGGCTTAGAAATGGGAGTGAAGCAGCATGGGACTCCAGCTACATCCACGCTGTGGCACTTAGATGTAAGAAAAAATCGTTCTTACTGGGGACACTCGTCCACAGGACATCTGTACATAAGATAATGTTTGTACATAAGGCACTACCCGTACCTTGGACACAGTCCGTACTTTAGACACAGTCCGTACCTTGGACGCAGTCCGTACCTTGGAAATAGTCCGTACTTTGGACACAGTCCGTACCTTGGATCCTAAAAATATGAAACTCTTGTTTAAAACCAAACAAGGTCTAATAAACAAAATAAACCTACCTCGAAATACTTCCGAGGGCTCAATAAATAATAAACAACATGTCCTTTCTTCCATGTGACATTCTGGAGGACAAAAGAAAAGGGACGCCAACGTGCCAGCAAAACACAAATACAAGTTGGGACATCCGTAACTCTACCCTAAAAATATTCAATAATAATATCGAATCTATAAAAGGTAATAACTCATCTTTACCTGTAGCCTCGAAATAGCAGCTGATTCAAATTAAACAGCAAGATTTAAATAATCACTATTTCTAAAAGCTGGGATACAACAGAGCGTCAAAACAAAGTGAGGTTAAGCACGGAGAGAGTTGACAGAAGCGACGTTAACAGCGCGCGCCTCCTCAGAGCAATAACAGGGTTGTGTCGAACGATAACAGGGTTGGCGACTAGGGAACGTAAAAATTACGCGTCAAATAAACTATCCGGCCTGAACGAGAGGGAATCCGGTGATGATAGGCCTAGACATCATATATTATATATAAAAAAGACATGTAACGAACTAAAAACGTTACAATACATATATTCCGAACTACAGAAAATACATAAACTAGAAGAAATAGATATGTCCTATCATGTCTCTGTAATCTAAATATTTTGTTGCAGGAGGAAGAACATGCGGATGACAATGCTGCAGCAGAGTTGGGACTTGACCATGTAGGTGGAGTGTTCGTAGTTTTAGCTGTTGGGGTTGTTATAGCCTTGACTTTTGCTACGTGTGAGTTTATATGGATGGTGAAGAAAGTGGCAATAAGAGAGACACGTAAGTTCCAAACAGACATATTATACATTAATATAGTTAACACGAACAACGATGCCTATATCATGTTAAAATTTATACCAATAAATCCGTAAGGAATAATACAACTCGATCATGGGCGCCGGACAGGGGGGGCAAGAGGGGGCATTTGCCCCCCCCCCCTGGATCACTGAAACAATAAAAATAAAAGCTATCTTCTTACATCCATCTGTAAAAAAATAATCATTATTATGAAATTGTTAGGTGTTACCTGTAAAATAATAAAAAATGTGGTAATTATTGGGAAAACTGGAAATCGTCCGATTTTCACAAAAATTGGTATACACACTATTTTGAGGTCGTAGATTACGAATCTATTTTTTTCTTGGCGGTCTCTTACCGTTTTTCAGAAAAACGGAAAATTACTTCAACATTGAATTTTTCTTTATTTCGGCCCTATAAAGTAATAATTTCACTATATTTTCATTATATTATAGTTTATCTAAAAGCCACACTTGATTGGGGATAGAAAAGTGTCCAACATTTTACTGAAAAACACTTTTCTTAAAAAAATTGCAAAGAAAATTGAGACCAGATGGAAGTTTGACATTTGATATACTATTGAATATCCTTCTTTCTCTCTCCTATGTAATAAGAGAGACAAATATATTCTAGACCTAATCTAGAAATTTGAAAATTTCTAGATTAGGTCTAGAATCTTCTATTTCGGGTGATTACGGATTTTAAATAAATTACCTATTATGAGATCGACAATAATTAAATATACACCTATATCCACAAAATTACGCGGAAGAGTTTTGATTGCATTGGTTTTAACTTCTTTGCGGAGGGGGTTAATCTTTTTTTAGTTAATCTAATAATATAACAACAAAAGATTAACACCCTCTGCATGGAAGTTGTAACCAATGCAATCAAAACTCTTTCGTGCAACTTCGTGGGTATAAATAGTCAGATCTCGTTGGTAAAATAGCAGTTATGGGAAGGAGCCGTTCTTCTGGCGACCGCCTTTCGTAATTCCAGAATGAGCGAAAAAAACACGCTAAATTTAGGTTTAGCATTGGCAACGTTGCTTTAAATGCCAGAAACACATAAGCTTACTTCGGGTTTCTCTTATTACCGATTCTGAACCGTCCTAGAACTGTGATGCGTATGCGCAGAAGGAAATATGAAGACATTATTTCATTTGCGCATGCACTGCAGAGTTCTTGGACAGTTCAGAATCGGTAATAACAAGAACCCGAACAAAGCTATAACCTAACATTTTCAGATTGTTTACAAATTTATTTTAGCAAATTTTCCTCTATTATGCATAGAATTGGTTAACAAAGTAACAGAAAATAGCAAAAACATTATTGATTATTATTGAATACCTAACAAAATATGTGCTAGAAAACATTAAAAATATGAGAAACTAAGAAAACTTCGATATTGAAATTATTTTCCGTTTTTTTCTGAAAAACGGTATTAGACCGCCAAGAAAAAAGTTGAGATTTGTAATCTACGACTTCAAAATAGGGTGTATACCAATTTTGGTGAAAATCGGAGGATTTCCAGTTTTCCCAATAATTACCAAAAATGTCACTTTTTTATTCATTTTACCTTGCCCCCTAAATTTCATTCTTCCGGCGCCCATGAACTCGATGGTCTTATGCAATACAATTAAGCATCAGAAATCTAAAAAAAAACACTTTTTGGGTTGTACCGGTATTACATATGACGAAAAATCCAATAAATACTAAAAACGTTGTCAATACTAAAACGTTGTTTATTTTTACTCTGCATCAGTTCCTAATCTCCATGGTCTAATGATTAAACCATAGCGAGTGCGTCTCAAAAGTGGCTCATCCCTATAACTTTTATTTTTCAGATAAAAAAAAAGATTTGGTATGTTGCTATAATATGACATAAATTAGGATTGAATGACGTATTCAATTGTTTTTAGTCACTTCCTGTTTCTCCGGAAATGACTACTTGAATGAAACTTTTGATTTTTTAATGGCACCCTAGGTATTTTTACTTTTTTTATTTTTAATCAATAAGCCTTGGAAAAATAGATTTGATCGTCCAATGCATGTCCAATGTTTTTCATGCAGAGTTCAAATTAACATAGCAGAGAAAAAAAACAGTTACCTTTGATAAAGGAAAATAGAATTAAATAAAATAAGCTTTAGATTGATATAATTAATGCATTTTTTAAAATTAATAAAAAAATAAAAATAATTATTTTATTTTTTTAACTCGAACTAACAAGAGAATTTTTGAATTTTATTCGATAAGAGGGCCCGAATTTTTGCTTGGGCCTTAGGGCCCGACCAGATGAAAAATAGGCCCTGCGGAAAACTACATGTTACTTTTAAAAACTACATAAACTACATTACATGTAGTTAATGTAGTTTATGTAGAGGGTGTAGTTTATGTAACCTATGTATGTAACTTTCAAATATCAAAGGTTTGAGATGAGGTTAATAAGTTGAAGCTTTAGAAAACACATAATGTTATTCAAGGCCGGCGGAAGGGAAATATTGAAACCGGGCGAATACCCTGCCTGGCGCCCCGCCTCCCTAATAGTTAACATAATAACTAAGCATATTTACGCTACTTTAATAATATAGTTTCACTTACAGGTACTTCAAAATTCTTCTCTTCCTTCAATCTTAGTCCGCGGTTGTTGTTTTTTCTATACCGGGTGCATGTTAAAAGTGACTCACCCCTATAACTTTTTTATGTTTTTTTTAGATAAAAAACGAAATTTGGTATGTTAGTATATGACATAAATTAAGATTGATTGACGTATTCAATTGTTTTTGGTCACTTCCTATTTCAACAAAAAACGATTGATTTTTAAATGGCACCGTCGCGTCGGTATATTTCTAGTTTATTCGGCAGAAAGTGACACTGAGTAGAATGACATATCGTGTGTCAACTTTTGACATTTTTGCTAAAAAAAGTGTGTGTTAAAAACTCTAATTTTTAAACAAGGAGCCTTGGAAAAATAGATTTGATCGTCTAATGTAATCGTATTTTTAACCATATGTCATTTTTTTCAAATAGAACAAGGATGGCTAGGAATATTTGGAAAAAGCATTTTTACGAATAATTTTAAACTAACACACACTTGATATTTCTAGTCAAATTGCGTTATGGTATGTTACAATTTCAAATAAACCATATGCGAAAATGTCAAAAGTTGACATATGATATGACATTCTATTTAGAGTGTCATTTTCTATCGCATACAGTAAAATATACCGAGGTTGCCATTTAAAAATCAAAAGTTTTAGTAATTTCCGGTGAAACAGGAAGTGACCAATAACAATTGAATACGTCAATTAATCTTAATTTATGTTGTATTCTAACATACTAAATCTCGTTTTTTCATCTGAAAAAATAAACAAGTTATAGGAGTGAGCCAGTTTTTGAGACGCACCCGGTATATAAATGATAAGTATAAGTGATCTTTGAAAACATTAGTATTTAGTTGCAAGCAATTGCATTATTTTTTCTATAAGAATTTAAGAAAATTTTCTTTCCTTTTTCACAATCAATTATTTCGTGCAGAATCAGTTTATGATCAGATACAGTTTTGTCGGCTTCAAAATGAGGATCAGCCAGTATTTGAGATGCATTCCTTTGTCTGGCTCTAATGAAAATTTCTCCGATTCTGCTTCCATTTACCAAAAATTGATATTTTTCCCACTACTGTTAATAAATTAATGAGGCAAACTTATAAGCTTTTTTGATAATAAGTATTCGGGATCGTATTAGCTTCTTGCGAATGAATATTTATCTCATATAATTTTAGGACAGATCAGCCATTAATAACAAATAAAGGGTATGAAGAGTAGACAAAGTGCAATTTTGAACGGTCAGTCTAAAACTGTCAATTTTGCTGGCTCTTGACCCAAAACTGTTTGTTTAGAGAAAATTTATAAAAACAAGAATTATAGAAAGAAGGGTTATTTACAAAAAGTTGATAGCTTTTCAGTTATAAGTAAAATACCACGAACAATTTTTTTTTAATATTTTAGTTGCTGGCGTGGGCCCTTCCGCCTGCCCTGATGTAATTAAGAAAACAGAAGAAATATGACTTTAAATATAATATTAACATCATATTATTTAGACCCGAGTTTAGACCCCTCATACAAAGGAAAACTATTCATAATAAAATATCAATAAGTAGTTTATTAACATAGTTTACATGTAGTTAATGAACGGGAAAAGATGTAGTTTTTGAAGAAAAACTAGACGTAGTTAACCAGGTAAATTACGTCTTAATTAACTACTTCCGAACCCTGCTTTCATGTTCTCTCCTGACCGGTTAAAAGATGCCCAAATCGACTTTTTAATCATATTTCAATTTTTTCAAATGGAACGAGCGTGGTTCGTTAACATATTTGGAAAAGACATTTTTTTGCGAATAATTTGGTATACACACACTTGGTATTTCCAGTCAAATTGTCGTTATGAACCGCATGCTATAATTTCAAATAAACCGTATGAGAAAATGTCAAAAGTTAACACACGATATGTCATTTTATTCAGTGTCATTTTCTATCGAATATAAAGTAAAAAAAAAACTGAGGGTGTCATTTAAAAATCAAAAGTTGTAGTCGATTCCGGTGAAACCGAAAGTGATTAAAAAATTGAATACGTCAATCAATTCTAATTTCTGTCATATACTAACATACCAAATCTCGTTTTTGATATGGAAAATATAAGAAAAGTTATAGAAGTGAGCCATTTTTGAGATGCACCCGGTGTATTATAAAAGCAAATACTTGTATAAAAAAAAATTGCATTTGAATGTAATAAATTTTATTTTATTCTGTTTCAGATGGGCTTCAATCGAGCTCTGATGCAAGAATTACGCTTTGTTTTGAATATATGGGAACGAAAGAAAGTTATAAAGAAAAATACTGAAAAGTAATTTAAAAAATAAAGTTGATAAGTTTATGAGTGTTTTATTTGCGTAATTTTTATCTTATTTTCTACAATCATTAGCG